CCAGCAGAAGACAAATGTGCTCCTGGGACATGCAGTTCCCTCCACTTACTAGAATAATGTCATCAGACTTTTCCCCAAGACCATGTTCAGGCTTTTGAGGGTCTCCAAGGATGGAGCCTCTCCAACCTCCCTGGGCAGCCTGTGCTCGTGTTTGATTACTCTCATAGTGAAAAAGTGTTTCCTGATGTTCAGAGGGAACCTTCTGTGTTTCAATTTGTGCCCATTGCCTCTGGTCATATCAATGGGCACCAGTGAAAAAAGCCTAGCTCCATCCTCTTCATTCTTTCCCATGAGGCACCTATATACTTTGATAAAATCTCCCTGAGCCTTCTTTTCTCTAGGCCAAACAGTTCCACATCTCTCAGCCTCTGCTCATGTGAAAGATTCTCCATTCCCTTGGTCATCTTTATGGCCCTTCACTGGGCTTGCTTCAGCAAGTCCATGTCTCCTGTGCTGAGGAATGCAGAACTGAACACAGTACTCCAGCTGTGCAACCTCAACAACACTGAGACAAGAGCAAGGATCATGTCCCTTCACCTGGTGGCAACACAGTTCAGGAAGCTCAGCACATAGGCTGTGAAGTGCATAGCCCAAAATAAGAAATGGGAAAGCAGTAGAATAACAAAGATTAGAAAATAAAAAAGAAACATTGCCTGTCTACTAACTTTAGGATAGGTGCAGATATCCATATGTACACTAACAGTTGTTCTGAATCTCCCCCAAAACTAATGTGAGGTATCTGCATATGGACCATGCTCGGTATTCAGCTGTCTGACTGTAGATGACAGTTCGACATGAGTGTCTCTGTGTTCTACTGACTGTATTGATGTAATCTCCTCTGGTGGGAGCTTAGAGACCTTGCTCATGTCAAGATGGCTACATGTAAACACGTGACAGTTGACTAAGCTGCCAGCACTTACTCCTGCATCATTTAAAGTATCTGAGAAAAAAAGTGGTTGATTCATCTGGTATGCAGGGGATAATAGTGTGGAAATGAGGTTGTAATTGCTGGAGGAGGAGGGAGATCCAGTTATTTCCAGTTCTGGAAGAAAGAGAAAGTAGTGAGAAAGGACAGGAGAAAGTAATAATGTATCATAAGATACTTTCTCTTTTATATCTATGGCTTCTAAGATCCTGTAGAGAAATGGATATTAGTTTTTGGTTTGTGTTTTACTGCTGAGTTTCTCAGATCTGAGGAAGTGTTTCTCTGTCCAAAATCTGGTCAACTTGGTCAACTGTACCAACTGGTTCATTAAGAGTTAGATTGCTTCTATCAAGCTTTGCTTTATTGGCTGCAATGTTACCATTGTTCAGAGAGGGAATCTGTGAGAGTAATTCAGCTGTGTTTGGAGACATCTGCCATAGGATGAGTCACATCGTCAGAGTGCCCGTTTCTCTGCTGACTATGAAACCAGCTTTAAGCAACCAGCTTGTAAGTAGACTTTTACATTACAGATGTCTACATTAGGGCAGATTAATCAAATCATGATCTTAATTTAAGAGATTTGGTTAACAAAATGCTGATAATCACTTGCAGAACGCTAGCAGAGACCCAAGAGAACCTATGCTTAGGTCACAAGTACAAGTTAATAGATGTACTGTGCCGAACTGGCAGCACAGTCATGCTTGCACATGCACAGTGTTTGAGAGCTGATAACAATTGCATCTCACCAATGAAGGTAGCATTGATGGACTCTGAAAAAAAATATTTCAAGGTATCTGGGAAATTTTTGAGCCCAGTCAACTAGGAACGAAATTGAAGATAATTCGTTTAGAATCATCATAATCTAAATTTTCTCTCAAGCTAACTATCACAAGAGCTGTTCATGCTATTTGTAACTATTTCTATGAAGGAAATCCAAGCTAAATAATCTGTTGTGTTACAGTTGTGACACAAGTTGAAAACACGTGTAGTGGTTTTGTTTTGGTGGTTTTCACACTATCCCTCTTGGTTCTGCAAATACGTTTCTCTAATCCAGATAAATACAGAATCTCAGCACAAGCTGCAGGCCCATGTTTTGATCCTAGTTTTATCTCACTCAGAACATACTACGGATTAAGCAGATAAAATAGGTATAAAAATGTTGCTTCACCTCAAGAAAAATGCTATTTGTTTTCAGTTTGTTGATACCTGAAAATAGCCAAGTCTTGAACACCTATGATGAGCATATTCAAATTTTTCAGAACAAAATAATTGAGTATTTGCTGTCAAGTTCTAACAGGCAAAATTTTTCAGCCTCAGTTTCTACACCAGTCTGCCTACTTTTTTTTCTGTTTGCTTTCTTTTTTTAGTGTTAATCAAGTCCAGTAATTTTAAATATCTCAGCTAGTAGTGGAGCATATGTGTCTTTGCCATGTATAATACTGGAGACCTTCCATGTTTGGTTTACCTAATGTAACAGAAACTAGTTACTTACTTTTTCTGAAAGATGTACAACTTTAGAAGGACGTGAGGGAAGGGGAAGAGAAGTCGTGGCACACATCCAGGGTGGATGAGGTTGTAGGTTAAGATGTTGTGACTAACAGAAAACAACTAAGATGCGTCTTACCTTGCTGACCAGAAATTCTCCATTCTAACAATGTGAACACAACCACAGCATCTTTCTGTGGTGACATTTTAGAGGCTAAAACACAGTGGAGGCTCCTCTGTTTGGGGGCAGTAGCCCTTTAATCTGAAGTGCAGTGCTGAAGTTGGGATATAATGAGATCACTTTGTGTACACTGTTGCTTTGCTTTCTTAAACACTAGAATCTAACTCAATATTAGCAAAAATGGTGTAAAAAGTTGTTTATACTTTGTCAAAGCTTGTGTTTTTTAAAATGATATCTATCTATACTTCTGCATGTGAACCAGCTAAAGAGGAAGTTCTTTGGAAATACGTGATGTTAAGCTGGGAGTGTGACACTGAACCAGACTGAATCACAAGGCCTGTTTTAACTACAAGTGTCTCCTTTCTGGGTTTGTTGGAAATAAGCACATAGGTATTTCTTCCTCAATAGGTGAAACATCTTGAAAATTTGTTAAAACTCAACACAGTGTTTGAGAGTTTCTTATACTTCCATCTAATAGCTTTATAACTGTAGTAGAAAATCAGGGGAAGGAAGAAGTGGAGTGGCACTGAAATCTTTGCAGATGTGGAGGTAACAAGGTGGATTGCCAGTGTGCAGTCCTTCCATACACTAATACTTATGAAGAATTGCAGTCTCACACGATTACTCTGAGCAGTTACTGGTCCACAGTACGTTTCTTGGCAAGTATATGTAGTAGACTTCTGTTCTGCTAGTCCCACACAGTTTTGTCTTGTTCCTTGACAAGGTGCTATTTATTTTAGATTTTATTGTGAACTTTATGTTGTCAGGCTTCTCAACTTCCTGCACTCTGACCGCTAAAGTCTACACATTTGAGTTATGCAATGAATTTCTGTCTAAGACAAGATAAGGAGGGGCCAGGACACTAGTCTGCTGTTGAGGAGCAGCAAGGAGAAAGAAGACAGCACACTGCAACTGGTACATTGGCTATAGAGCAAGCATTCTACTCCAGTGAGCTCAGTAAAGCTATGAAGGCAGATAGGAGCTACTATGCATATGAGTCTCACACACATTGTTATGTGCCATTCTCCATTTTAGCAGGGTCTATAACACTGTTAGTCTTATAAAACCTTCTCTTCTGATTAAATGCTCTGGAATGACTCACTCTCTACTACTACCTAAAAGGAGGTTGTAATGAGATGTGGGTCAGTCTCTTTTCCCAAACAGGACAAGTGAAAATGTCCTTAAGTTATGCCAGGGGAGGTTTAGATCAAATATCAGGAAAAAAAATTCACTAAAAGGTTTGTGAAGCACTGGAACAGGCTGCCTAGGGAGGAAAGATGTTGAGTCACCATCCCTGTAGGTATGTAAAAGACGTGTAGATGTGGCACTTAGGGACGTGGTTTAGTGGTGGACTTGCCAGTGCTGGGTTGACAGTCAGACTCAATGACCTTAAAGGTCTCTTCCAGCCTACATGAGTCTATGACTAGCCATCTCTACTTAGAAAAATACGAGAATTCTTTTACTGATGCAGCTCCTAGTAGGTGCTTGCAGTATGCCCTCCCTTCCGAGACAAGCAAGTTCCAAAGTACTGACACTAAAGACATGCTGCTGCTATCTCTTTGCTGTATTTTCTATCTTGGGTTGATAAAAAAAATGGTTCTCTTTGTGGTAAATATGTTCAGACACGTGTCAAGATTTGTCATACTTTCAAGGAGATGTAGATTTTCCTATCACCACTTGCCTTGTTTTGTTCTTGTGACTTTTTGAACCCGTTCAAGATTTAGGGTGCCTTCAAAACATGAGACCTTGATAAAGAAATGTAGGTGATTAGAGAGAGCAGAGATCAGTACCTGAGAAGGACATTTGCAAGAAGTGAGGGACAAAGTATTTTGAGTGGGAGTTCTTTCCCTGCCTGGTTACACCTGTGCAATCAGGAATGCAGATTCCCTGGAAGCAAACTGGGGGCTGGCTCTGTAGCTTAATGACACTACCTGCACCTAATGAGGTGGGAGAAAGTAAGATAATTTGTAGGTTCTGGTGCTGCTTGTGCATTTTTCATCTAAGAAGTCTTCAGATTCAATGCCTGTCAACCTGATCCAGTGAGGAGATGTCCCTGCCCATGGCAGGGAGGTTTGGGACTAGGTGATCTGTAAGGTCCATTCCAACCCTTAAATTCTATGATTCTGTGATATGTAACATTTGCAACTTGGTTCAGTAATTCTTGCTCCCAAAAGAATTACCACTTACAGTACAATCCAGATTTTCTTGAGTGAGGAGCCTAGCTACAAACTCTCTCAGGACCAGGTGGCTAGCTTCTGAGGGACCTTCTTGCTAGGTAGATACCTCAAGTACTACATACCAAAAGCAGATTAGTTGCAGAAGTGATATGAATTTTCCTCCTCTTATTCTTTGGCAATTATAGTTCTTAGTTTCCAGTTGATGTGCACAAGTTTCAGTCACACTACAGTCATCTGGAGCAGTTTCACTGGAGCTGAGGAAAGAATTTATGAGGTCATGAGGAAGCTTCTGTTCCAGTGCCTTGTAATTCCTGGAGTCCAGTTAGGACCTTTCTTTGAATACACAAGTTTTTTGTTAAAAGCAGCCTTCACTCTGATGTGATTATGGCCTCACTCTATCCCTTCATATTTACCTCCTTTCTCCTAACACATAAAGATTGAAGGGTTTAAGGGTAGTTTAAAGCTCTTCTTTCTCATTTTGGAGTGGCAGCCTGTGATTGGTGTTGCATCCAACCCTGAGAGCAGTCATAAAATGAAAGTGGAATAAAATGAATATCGGTGTTTCTCAAAGCACAATGTGGGTTTGCTACAAGTCTTATTGGATAATTAACAATAACCTTGTAAATAATCTGAACAATGTCTCACCCTCCCCACGAATTTTGCGTTTTTCTGTACTTTGTATACTCAGCAATACATTTAGTATATTTTTACAAATGCCAGTGAGATAAAATAAATAGCCCCAAATAAATAAAAACTCCAGTTATGAAGTTTCTACATTGGTTCTGGCATAATTGCCTTTTTCAAGTATGTGAACAGATTTTTTGAGGTTCATGTTTCTTCCTGTTCATTTCACTCTGCTGTCACAGCAGAATTCTTGTGGCATAACAGACAATAAGTAGTCACAAATACTGAAATGTGGCATAAAGCAGAATGCAGACCAGACTGCTTTGGGCTCCAGTGCTAGGGCTTTGTAGTGGGGTTTAAAATGATGGCTGAGTGATGATTGTAGGTCCTTCATGAGGCACATGGATTTCTGCTGCTTCTCCTGAGTCTGAAATGAACTCAAGCCCCAGGGCAAGCATGAGTGTGAACACAGGGAATGGGTCTTTTTCTCATAGATGGGAGAAGTGCCTCACAAAAACAGACTTTTTCAATATTGCAGTTTTTAATGTATTGGTTTTCTAACCTTTTTTTTTTCCTCCTAAAAGATAGATGGGCTTCTTCTGGAATAAGCCTGTGCATACTCTCAGATTTAACTTCAAATCCATTGGTTTGCTTTTAGTTTTACTAGAAGGGAGACACTTGGGTGGTGGGGGCAGAAGCCTTAAGGAGGTTTTGAAGGAGTGTTTACAGTGGTTCAGCATCCTCAAGAGCAGCCTTAACCTTCTCAGGTCAGCATGCAGTATAACCTACACAGTTCCTTTACTAGAAATGAAAATTTGTATTAAATTTTGACTAGTTTGAGAAAGGGCTGCTTAGTTTGGGCTCAAATTCTGAAACAAACAAAAAACCCCAAGCAACTTTATGAGTCACAGGCAATGCAGTACATGGATTAAAAAAAGTAATAGTCTGTAGTTGTGGGGAAGTTGAAGGTAAAGAAATCCCCTGTTCGGTCTCTGATTCTTGACCGAGAACTCTGGGTAAATACAGTAAAAAGTGCTTTAAAAACCAGAAAGACCAACAGCTACCTGCAGCTAAATACGGAGTAAAATTGAAGTATTCAAGTTGTTTTGTTTTGAAGGTTTTTGTAACAATTCATTTCTGGTTTTAGATTTCTGGGATTTGCTACAATAGCAGTATATTAAAAGTTCATCGAATTCTTTGTGTACCCAGATGGGTAGCAAAGATATTTTCTTGGACTCTTGAACCAATCTTCTCGTCTGCGGAACCAACGAATGAAGTTCGAGTAGGAATGGGAGCAACAGTTGACATCCAGAGGCAGCAGAGAATGGAGTTACTGGATCGCCAGATCATGATGTCTCAGGTTGCCCAAATGAGGCGGCAAAGACAGCAGCAGGTATTGCTCTGCATTCTTTAAGGACTGTATTGTTATGAGAAAAATGCAATTTTGGTTCATATGTCTTGTGTGGTTCCTGTTTCTTAAAAATAATGTGGGGATTTTTATTTTTCTCTATCAATCTTTCATACACTGTTGTACTCCTGATAGCCATTTAAGTGGTCTGTATAGCTTTATATGTTAAAACTGCTTCACAGGATGTAAACGGAGTGTCATTCAGTCCTGTAATGCTATCAGTACTTCTGGAATTCCTTTCATAGTCACCAAATATGTCACCAAAAATGAGGCTGAAAGGTAAGGTGTTCAATAAGGGCCATTGTGGAAAGTTAGGAAGTCAAAATCCTTGCAACTCGTCTGAGTGTCTGTGTTGTTATCATCTGTTTCAGTGGGATGAAAAATGTCTATGTAGCTCCTTTGTTTGCAGATGTAAGGTTTGTTTCTTTTAAGAGAGTGCAGAAATCAAGTTATCACACTTTCTTACAGAGGTACACCACAGGGACTTTCTGTTTGCCACATTTAATGCTCTTTGTTTATTTCCTTATTGAACTGAATGACAGAGCCTTTTTATTTTCCCTGTTTTAGACAAACCAGCAAATTCAGATATTCTCATACTTGTCATTGTAGGGCAGTAAAACAAGGCCAGTGGTGTCTCAATTAATTTTTTCATATATTTCTTAGATATATGTGTTACTTAGATATATATGTTACTAGTGGACAATGTGGGCCTTGCATTGCTCTATGTGAACCTATACTGCTCACCATTTACTCACAGCCTAGCAATTTGAGCAATTTACTGAGTTTCCTTTGCCTGAAACACAGCTCTGTACTGGTACATGAGTCCCTGTTGTGTAGTGCAAGTAGCTGTAGCTGTGTTACCCTTAATGCATTGCCAGAGTTAGAGGTGTGATAGCATAAAGCTTTCACCTACCATTGGAGGATTGCTCTTTGTCCCTGATAGCATCATTCTGTTTTCCTTGTGTTCTTAACATTTCAATAGGATGAAATTGTTCCTCAGGTAGAAAGTTCCTAATCTATTTTTCTCTGTTAATCAGTTTTAACATCATTGAACTAGAAATTACTCAATTCTTGAATGTTGCCATTGTAATAGAAGATGAATTGAAAGTGTGTGTTGGGTTACTAGCAGGTGGGAAGAGTGCAGCCAGGTTTATTCAGATAAGAGGAAGAAGCCATTTCCAGTTATGAAGGACAGTTTTTCTAATATATCTTTAATTGCAAAAAGTGGTAAATAAGTTCAGAATGATAAAAGAACAGTTGATAACATTTTCTTCTCATCTTGTCCTTTCCTTAGGCTATGAACAATGAAAGTGGAAAAATGTCTTTTCATGTTTGGCTTCAAATAGAATACTTTAAAAAGGTGGAGGGGTTTGAGTAAAATGAAGGAACACTGTTTGAACATCAGTACCATGCTTCCCTTTACAAGCTGCTGAAACACTTTCAAGTTACCTTCATGTTTAGCCTTTAACTTGTCACAGCATTTAGTTAATTGGTAGTGCTAATCTGTGAAACAGCGATCAGAAGGTGATGAGATCAATGAGGAATGTTTTAGAGAAGCTCTTTGGAAAAGATGTGTCATGAAAACTTTTGACCAGCCTGGGTTTTTTTAATGACTCACTTTTTACTGGCCATCAACTAAATCACCAAGAGCATTGTTCACAAAAGTTGAGGTCTAGTGGTAAAAATGGAAAGCAGGCTAATTTCAGTTTCAAATAATAATTGAAAAATTGAAAACCATTTTCTGGGTTGCTGTACTTGGGCAGTTCTTTTGCCTTTAGAGATTTGGAAAGGTGTAATTGGAAGACAGTGGAGTGAAACAGATCACGTTACAGATGGAATTTAGATGATAATTTTACCTGTGAGAGTGAAGCTGATAAAGAATGCAGATCAGTTTCTTAGGCAGGTTTTTTTTCGTGAAATTGAACACAGTAAAAGCTTTGAGGTATATGTCAGTCATCAGATATGGCTTTGAATTATATTCTAGGAGAATGATCTGTGGATTTCTGCAGTCCCAATATGTTGTCTGTAGGTTGTGTGCCATAGGTGAGGTAAATTAACATTTTCTCTCCTGCTTTCCGTTTTGTTTGGTGTGGGGAGTGAACTTTAACTTTCCTCTGTATGCCATAGTGTAACAATTTTGTTTAGCTGCCCCTTGAGAAGGTGCTCTGCTCATTCCCCCTGCTCCTTTACTCTTGAGTTCATCTATTTGAAAAAAGAGACAATGCAGTTTCCCTGTTGTCGTGGTTACACCCCAGCCAGCAACCAAACACCACACAGCTGCTCACTCACTGCCCCACCAGCAGGATGGAGGAGAAAACTGGAAGGGTCAAAGCAAGAAAACTCATGAGTTGAGATCAAGACAGTTTAATAGAGAAAGCAAAAGCTGCACGCACAAGCAAGGTGAAATAAGGAATTAATTCATGGTTTCCCACAGACAGGAGGTGTTCAGCCATCTCCAGGAGAGCAGGGCCCATCACACATAATGCTTATTTGGGAACACCAATGCCATCGCTCCCGATGTTCCCCCTTCTTCCTTCTTCCTCCCACCTTATATACTGAGCATGGTGTCATATGGTGTGGAATATCCCTTTGGTCAGTTTGGGTCACCTGTCCCAGCTGTGTCTCCTCCCAGTCTCCCATGCACCCCCAACTTCCTTGCCAGTGTGGCAGGAAGGGGGGCAGCAAAGGCCTTGGCTCTGTGAGCTCTGCTCAGCAATAACAAAAACATCTCCATATTATCAACCCTGTGCTCTGCACAAACCCAAAACAGAGCCCCATACTAGCCACTGTGAAGAAAATTAACTCTACCCCAGCCCAAACCAGCACAGCTGTATGTTGGTAGTATTGCAGAGAAAGAAGATTGGTGGTTTTAACAGTGCTCTGTTGTCTGTGCAATATGGCAAACTCTGTTCTGGCCCTTCTCTTACACAGATGCTTTTTGTAGTAAGCTTATTCTCCAGGTCTTTGCAAGAAGTTCTGAAGAATGCGAGCCTGACAAGTTGTGCAAGCCAACACAAGAAAAGCTAAAGTTTAAAAAAGAAAAAATCCCAACAACAATTAAAAAAAACCACCCACAGAAAAAACAGGGAAAGAAACTGAGGGAAAAGTGTTTCTCATTTGTTGTTTATACTGTACAACCAACATACTGGGTTGTAAATAATTTTATGGTGGTTTTTTCTCCTGCTGTTCACTAGGCCCTTTTATCCAAAGCACAATGCAGTTCAGATGCTTTCTACGGAAAAGGAAATAAAGCAAAGAACAGTCACTCCAGAGTTTCTTTGCTGTCACCTCTTTGAACTTTGCTTTTCAGTCTTTCTAGCTGAAATGTCCTGGGCTGGAGGAGCCTTAAGCAAGGAGCTGTGTATGAGTGCTGGGTTGTCAGACACCCATGACTGCAATGTGTAACTTGAATATGTGGTAGAATTTGAACATAAAGCCACCCACTTCATTACTTGATGTATCTCATTTTAACCCTTAAATATTCAATGGTATTGTGTGGGAATATGTTGTTAGAAACTGTGGCATGCTAGTCTCTCAGTGAAGTGTGGTCATATGGTGACTGATTTTTGTCTTGGTTTCTAGTTGTTGTGGATACAGCACTTAAACAAATGGTAGTGTGCATCTTGAAATCTTTCACTTCTTTATTTTCTCCCATGGATATTGTTGAGAAATTATCACCTTGTCACAAATGGAGAATTGCTGAGCAACACCTCTACGTACTTTTCTGGGCAGTAGAATAAAATGTGTGCCGTATTTATTCATTCCCTCAAAAAATGCCATCTTGCTACTTTCTTACTGCATTGAGACATGGATTTCTTCGTTCTTTTTTTTCCATGCTTTTATGTCTATCCTAGTTTGTAATTTAAATAGTTTATCCTATTTTTTTTTGTTTTCCCATTATCTGATCTCTTTTCCCATTCATATCATTTTCACATTTTCATACCCCACTGTGCCATTTTTCATCCTCATAGAATCATAGAATCAACCAGGTTGGAAGAGACCTCAAAGATCATCAAGTCCAACCCTACCATCGTTGCTAGGCCATGACACTAAGTGCCACATCCAGTCTTGTCTTGAAAACCTCCAGGGATGGTGAATCCACCACCTCCCTGGGCAGCACATTCCAATGTCTGATCACTCTCTCTGTAAAAAATCTCTTTCTAATATCCAGCCTAAACCTCCCCTGGCAGAGCTTGAGCCTGTGTCCTCTTGTCCTCCTGTTGGTTGCCTGGGAGGAGAGACCAACCCTCACCTGACTACAACCTCCTTTCAGGTAGTTGTAGAGGGTGATAAGGTCACCCTTGAGCCTCCTCTTCTCCAGGCTGAACACCCCCAGCTCCCTCAGTCTCTCCTCATGGCACTTGTGCTTGAGTCCCTTCATTTTCATCATCTCTTCGCCTGCATCTCCATTGTTTTCCATACTTCATGTTTGCTCCCGTACAAAGTCCTCTTCACTTTGGGGAAGTTCTCTTCCATCATGTCTCACCACCAGTCAATGTTTGATGGTGTGTCATGAAGCTCAGAGGATTTTAGGGACGGATGCCTCTTGCCTTTTGGTCATTCAGACAAGATGTAGTCGAGGTCTTTGGACACTATTTTATCCTTTTGATAGTGTAGTATTGATAAAAAACTTGGTCTTCCTCTTCTGATGTTTCGATTTCTTGATTTCTTTCATGTCCCAGCATTTTTGTAAAGATTATCTTTCTGTAACCCAAATGAAAGCTTTGATGGGAAAAGGGAAGCAACTGCTGCATCTGTGCACCAGTGTGGGTAGCAGGGAGTCAGCTTGACTTTCACTTCCGATTGAGAAACTTGGAGGGAAGCTGGCAGATAACCAAGTTGTGAACCAATAAGGGAGAATTCTGTGTCTAGGTGTTACTGACAACACTGTTGGCATGAAAGATGGATATGTGCAAGGTGGTGGAAAGTTGCAGAAAGATAGTCAGTGCCTTCTGTTGGAGCAAAATGCTCATCCCTGTGCCCAT